AGCCTGTTTCAGTCTGTGACTCCCTCTCTCTCTGACCCTCCCCTGCTCACACTGTCTCTCTCTCTCTCCTAGAAATAAATAAAACATTAAAAAAAAAAAATTAAAATAACCAAAAAAAAAAAAAAAAGTTTTAAACTTAAAAAAAGTTTGAGGTGGGTGTGGGATACATCCAGGTAGTAAGGTTAGTAAGAGTAAGCGTTCGGCCACCTGTATAGAGCGCGGATTACGTGCCTGGCCCTTCACAAACATGAACTCACTTAACCCTCACCACATCCCCTAAGATAACAACTGTCACCCCATCTTACAACGGGGAGGCTGTTACACAGAGAAGTAACTTCTCCACGGTTCCATAGCTAGTAAGTTTTGGAGCTGGAATCCCAAACTCGGAGCCTATGCTCTTAGCCATCATCCTGCACTGCCTGCCTCAGGAAAAATGGAGCGATCAGGACTGCAGATATATATTTGGATGGTTTTCCGTACACAAGTGCATAACAGGTGAAGTCACAGGCTTATATGTGAAGTCCTAGGGACAATGAGCAAAGAGAGAAGAAAAAAATAACATAGCATGAAATACTGGAGGAAAGTATGTATTAAGCCAAAGGTGAAGGCAAAGCCAGAGGAAGGAGCCAGTGGGGGGTCAGGCTGGGGGAAAGTAGGGAAGGTCTTAAGGGCAGGAAGTAACTAAGGATGGCTTTGGAACCCACAACAGTTCCTCGCATATATTCTCCTCTTTTCTGTATATATAATCTACTCTTTATAAATGTTTTTTAAATGCTTATTTACTTTTGAGAGAGAGAGAGAGTGAGACAGAGAGAGTGCATGCATGAGTGGGGGAAGAGCAGAGAGAGAGGGAGAGAGCAAATCCCAAGCCGGCTCCTCACTGCCAGCACAAGCCCAACACAGGGCTCGAACTCACAAATCATGGGATCATGGCCTGAGCCGAAATCAAGAGTCAGATGCTTAACCGACCAAGCCACTCAGGTGCCCCTCTTTATAAATGTTTTTAATTGAGTGGTCATGATCATGTCATAATCTCACAGTTAGTCAGTTCGAGCCTCACGTCAGGCTTGTGCTGGCAGCCTGCTTGGGATTCTCTTTATGCCCCTCCCTCACCTCTTGTTCTCTCTTTCCCTCTCAAAATAAATAAATAAACTTTAAAAATAAAGAAATAAATGTTTTTGATTGAGCTAAGTATAATCCCAAACAATGATCATCTCAAATGACCATGCTTATAGAATATTCAAAAGACTTAAAAAAAATTTTTTTAATGTCTTATTTATTTCTGAGAGAGACAGAGACAGCACGAGCAGGGGAGGGTCAGAGAGAGAGGGAGACACAGAATCTGAAGCAGGCTCCAGGTTCTGAGCTGTCGGCACAGAGCCCAACACAGGGCTCGAACCCACAACCGTTAGATCATGACCTGAGCTGAAGTCAGACGCTTAACCGACTGAGCCACCCAGGCACGCCTCAAAAGACTTTATAGTTAGGGTTAGGAACAAAACTCAAATAATATATGCTTATGAGATTTTTTAGAGTTTGTAGAAGATACACTGTCATTAAATATGAAATAACAGCATACACACCATATGAAAACATTCCTTACATTTATGTCCAGCCAAAAAGGCTTTTCAAAGCTTTACTCACACCCTACGTCACAGCAATGTAACATGTGACTCTATTTTGCATTTTGTTGAAGACGGCAGAAACATTGGCTCATCTACATTTTACAACTGATAGATAGGAAACTGTGTGGTCTCCTTCTACAGCAGGATTTAGAAAATGTGTATATGAAACTGATCACTTCTCACTTGAAGGAGTTCCTGGAGCATCTGGTGAATCTTGAGTTGCACTGCTAGACGTCTGTGTATCTATTATACATAGATCTGCTATAATAAATCTGTGTGTTTTGTTATGCGTTCCTTATCATACTTTACAATTCCATACCCCAAACACAAACATTTAAGAGAAAAAAGAGTTTCCTCAAGATTAAAAAGTTGGCCCCTATTTCCAACTCAAAGCAAGGTTTTCTATAGGAATAAATTTTGATTTCCATATCCAAGCTCAAAGTGCTTTCTAAATTTGAGTGTGCATACAAATCATTTGGGGACCTTGTCGGGATGAAAACTGATTCAGCAGGTCTAAAGCTGGGCTGACACTCGCATTTCTGATGGGCTCTCTCCTCTACTGGATGACGATGTCCTGGTCTACACCAGCAACGCACATGTGGCCCTTGAACCAGAAGCGCTGGCAGCATTTGGGAACTTGTTAGAATTGCCCGGCCCTCAGTGTGACATACCAAGCATACTAATATCATCTGCAGAAACTGAGGACTCCAGAAACTTATGTTCAATTAGTTCTTTTAAAATCCACTTACAGCTCATTCATTCGCAGTCTCTTTTCTGTTACTGAAGATCAGGCCTTCTTCCTTCTCAATTCCTCCCATTATTCCAGTCTGTGCATCTAGCAGGTAAGCACCGTCCACAAGGCGGCCCCAGCTGGTTCGTCCAGGCTTTCTTCCTATAATCCCTGTACAGGTCCACCACAGGCCATCTGGATGGGACTGGCGAGTTTCCCAATACAACGCTCGTTATCACAGCCCCTCTTGTTCTGTGCTGTGGCTGGTGCTTTTCCTTATCAGACCGATCGCTAGAGCCACCTCTCTCCACTCACCTTGCCTGATTTCTCAGTAAGATGGGATCTTCCCATTCTCTGAACCAACCACTCCCTCACCAGAGGGATCTGTCTCTCATTCCGAGACTTACACATTCTGCTGTCCATATGCTGGTCCTCGTTTTGTCTCAGCTACGGAGGGACAAGCAGGAACTTTCACAAGTAATGTGGACATACGGACCTGGCCGGGGGCACCACAGGTCCTCACTAACACAAGGCTAAATCAAACTCCATGAAAATATAGCAGTATTTCTTCTTGGTGATGAATTTGATCTAGGTGTTCCCAAATCACAAGTCTAACTCATGTTTCTCATTTCTCCAAATCCAATCACTTTTCTGCTTTACTCACCACAGATAGAAAACTGGGCACAGTGCTTTCTCTGCTTTTCCAACTCTTATACCTAGAAAATTTTTACTTCATCTCACTTGACACATGTTATCAGAACTCGAATTGTGAACCAGCTCATTTGTCAATTTCATGCTGAACAGGCCAGATGTTGGTGTACCCATTAAGGAAAATGAATCTTGTACTGCAACCTTCATCAAACCACGATGAAGCTCCCCATACACACAAAAATAGGCCTTAACGCAGCAGAGCATCTTTAAATCTGTCATGCTGAACCAAAGCACGGTAACAAAAATTACTATTTAGAAACTAAAGGATCTTAACAACACCTGGAAGAATCTGAGGGATGAGGAGATGCTATGTGAGCTTTCAGTCATCAAGTTAGTGTTAGTCCAAAGTCAGTCAAATAGACAACCACTCAAGTACAAACCCCCAAGAAGCCATCATAATGTATTAGGACCAGACCGAAAGTAACCAGTGAGTCACTGGAAATATCCTTGCTAAATTCTGAGGATAAATACATAATGCTAAGTGACTATTAAAAATAAGGCCAGCTCAGTAAGTGTCTCCAACCAATGGAATGTAAGATCAGAGTTTAAAAGTAATGTGGACTTGTGATTCCCGCCAACGACCAGAACACAAGAACTAATCGTCAGAACTGAGAACTAATCATCAGAATTGAAGTGCTCCAAAGGCAAGGCCTAGAGGAAACCATCTGACTTCCGAGACTTGCGTGACAAATGCTCTACCTGAGAGCCTCAAAGACAATCTTGTGCATTCTACCCCAGAGACAAAAAGTAGATTAAATGTCTCTGCAATGAGGGGTGCCTGAGTGGCTCAGTCGGTTAGGCATCTGACTCTTGGTTTTTGGCTCAGGTCATGATCTCACGGTTCATGAGTCTGAGCCCTGCACTATTAATGCAGGGCCTGCTTGGGATTCTCTCTCTTTCCCTCTCTCTCCCTGCCCCTCCTGTACTCTCTCTCTCTCTCTCAAAATAAATAAAACTTAAAATTCATTCATCATTAGCTTTCCTACCCTTATAGACAATGTCTTTGGCAAAGGGTGGAGAAGGGACAGAAAGGAGCTTCTGGCGATGTCGTGGCAGGCAGAATAATGGTTACCCCCAATGTCCACCTGCCAATTCCCAGCCTGTGAATGTGTTGCCTCACACAGCAAAGGGAGCCCTGCAATTGTGATTCAGCCATGGGCCCTGAGACGGGTAGATCACCCTGGGTTACCCGGATAGGGCCAAGGCGATCACAAGGATCCTCAGAGTGGAAAAGGGTCAGAGAGATAAGGAAAAGGGTCAGAGAGATAAGACATGAGGATGACTCAACAACCTACTGCTGCTGGCCCTGACGTTGCCGGAAGGGGCCACGAGCCAAGGAAGACTGTCAGCTTCTAGCAACTGGAAGAGCCAAGGAAACAGCCTCTAGAGCTTCCGGAAAGGGATGCAGCCCTATGGCATCTTGATTGTAGCCTCGTGAGACCTGTGTTGAACTTTTAACCTACGGATTCATAAATCTGTGTTGTTTTAAGACATTAATTTGTGGTCATCTGTTATAACAGCCAATAGGCAAGTAATATAACAATGAACTGCTACTAGAAGAATTCTGTATAACAAACACAGCTACGCTCCTTTAAAAGCATAACGCGCAGGGCTACAAAATGCTCAGCAAATGTGTTTCTAGTTTGCGTTACTAAGAAACAGACCTACTCCCCTATAAAAAGGTAACACACAAAGCTTACAACTGAATTTTATAAAAAGACAGAAAAGTAAATGCAATTAACTCTGGCCAGAAAGCTGGGTAGGAAAACAACGCAGGACAAGGTATTTTCAACAGAACGAGTAGGTGGTAAATATTAAGCAGGAAAAGTTGATGCCCCTTGTGGGTAACTTTGAAAAGGAACCACCAACAGTACCCATTCCACTGGGTCAGCCAACAGGCACATTTCAGTATTTTGCTTATAGCTCATGTTTACCTGATGATCCTCTGCGCAGCGTACTGATGGAGGGAACGGAACTGGGCCGACATGTTTGCTAGGGCAGCCAGACAGTTGGTGTGAAGGTACTTGTCCTGCGAGGAAATAGCAAGTTGAAAACAGACATCAGGTCGTCTCTACGTATGAAGCAAGGTTAACCAGAAGTAAATGTCAACTCAACTGTCACTGACTGTAGAAAGTTCAGGGCCACAGCCCCTTTTCTCGAATTCTAAAATCCTTAATAAAGCATGGAAAATTCAAAGTTTTCTCACCACGCATTTGGAAGCAACATCTGGTACAAAAGATGATGCTATTCAGGGTTTTCGTTATCCCTATCCTGGTGGATACTGAACTATTCCCTTGCAGAAATATTGATATTTAATTACAGGAAACTAACGGCTGCATGCATTGTAGCACTACAGTGTAAGGACTGTAACTATCTTTGTAAAATCAAAAAATTCTCCGTTCTTAAATATATCCGGCTCCTAAAGTTTCAGATAAAAGATTATGGACAAGGATCTACATTAGCCTCACTGAGGGAAATAAGTTGAACACAGTGCAGTAAACCTGACCATTTCTCTGAGCTATGAATTCCGCACATTCCTTCTCTACAGACCAGAACTGAAACTTGCTCCCAAGTCCTGCGAATACAATCCAGTTGAAGTTTTCCTTTTATTCTTGAAAGCATCCTTTCTTCTTTTCTTTACAGTCTGAATTCGTATTTCCTTGTGCTTGTATCTTCACCGTTTGTAGTTGCTTCTTAAAATTTTTTTTAAGTTTTATTTATTTATTCATGTATTTATTTGAGAGAGACAGTTTGAGTGGGAGAGGGGCCGAGAGAGGGGGGCGGAGAGAGAGTCCCAAGCAAGCTCCGAGCTGCCAGTGCAAGCCCGACATGGGGACTGAACTCATGAAACCGTGAGATCATGACTTGAACCAACACCAAGAGTCATGCTCAATCGACGGAGCCACCCAGCCACCCCTGTTGTTGCTGCTCTTAAAGGAAAAATCGGTTTTCCCGGTTCAGCAAAGGTAAAACATTTTTTATCTAAATATGCCCACTGCTCATTTTTTTAATGTAAAATATCTCTAATCCACACAGTCAATTAAATATTTAAAAACAGACGCTATGCACGTTATTTCAGGATCACGTAATTCAGTGACTGTTGGCAGATCTGTGTTTTCCGACCGTATTTCGTGAAGATGTTCGTACTCTAAATACTGAGATTGCTGTAAGCGACAGGCCTCCCTGTGCCGTGCGCGTTAATGATAAAAATCCAGCCCTGGAATACTTACTCTTGTTCTTGTCATGTTGTACTGGATGGTTCTTATTACCACTAGTATCAGGAGGCTCCCCAGCGAAATTTCGGTTAAAACCCGTTCTGAATACCAAGTAATATTTTTTAATATCTGCAACAGGGAAGAAAAGTTTAAGTAAATAGGACTGCTTCAGGAAAAGGGGGCTTACCGTGTCGACAATCTCTGAGTAAGCCTTAGCTTTGCTCTGCAGGCGAGGTAAACAGCACATAAAGCTTCGTGAACCGTGGGACTTTTCGCTGAAGATGGCACAACAGTGCGGAAGTGTTTATGTCGACTTCCTTCTTAAATATAAAAGAAAAGAAAACAGATCTGGTAACAGAGGAGATCATTAGTAGACAAAAAGGAGAGGTGTTTGAAAGATGATGGCACGAGGTCAAGAGGGAAGACCCAGTCAGGGCTCAGCAGTCTAAGAGTGAAAACAAGAAAACTGAGGAGTCTCTTGAAGAGTAGAGCTGCCCCAACAACCAGAGAAAAGCTTCACAATTGTGTTCAGGAAAGGCCCAGAATGCAGATAAGTGACGCTCTGGAAGAGACGTGCCGAATCGCACTCTGGCTACCAAGAGCAGGCAGCGCTGGTGGCCACCACCACAGCTCGGTAGCTAGAACCGTCTTCCAGCCTAAGATGGTGCGACTCCACTGTAGGTACGCGACACAGGTGTCAGAGACAGAGGCGAAAACTGGACAGTGCAGCAGATTTATGATTTAAACTGGAAAAGTTCTCTGAGACAACAGCTATAAAAAGCAAAATTGAGACCAAAAAAAATATGCAAGCGAACTGGAGACCTAATATCTACTTAACAGAAGTTGTGAAAGGTACAGACTGGAAGGAGAACAGAAAAATTCATAATATGAGAAAATTTTGTGGAGGAAAAAAACTTTCAACATTCTGAGCAGAAATATTGAAAGAAAGCGAAATGTATTCTGGTAAGACTTCTAAATTTATAGTGGATCATAAAATCCTTGGCTCCCAGACAGAAGGAAGAGGTTATCACCAAAAGAAAGACAAGCAAACTAACATGCGATTTCTCACCTTAAACACTGCATAACGACAGAACAACGTCGATAAATTTTTGAGGACTGGATCATGATTCTAAAATTCTACACCTAGAGAAACCACCACACAAGTATACAAATAAAGACTAATAACTATGCAAAGAGTCAACATGAACAGTCCATGCACCATTTCTGGGGAAAAAACAAACCATCACACAAGTACTTGGCTGCCCATCCTTTCCACTGTGACAACAACAAAAGTGACAGCTCAAGGACTTCAAGAGAAGGACAGTAACGACTACAAAACAAAACCCAAAGCAATAACAAACCATAATTATAATCCACCGAATCAGGACAATGTGATTAAGACCAAATAATACAGTTGTACTTCAGTTCTTCTAAAAAATCATTAAAATAGGGGTGTGCCTGGGTGGCTCAGTCAGGTAAGTGTCCGACTTCGGCTCAGGTCATGATCTCATGGTTAATGAGTTCGAGCCCCGCCTCAGGCTCTGTGCTGACAGCTCAGAGCCTGGAGCCTGCTTCGGATTCTGTGTCTCCCTCTCTCTCTGCCCCACTCCTGCTCATGCTCTGTCTCTGTCTCTCAAAAATGAATAAGCATTAAAAAAAAATCATTAAAATGATATTTCTCTGGTAAATCTGCCCCCCAAAAAGTCCAAAAAATGTTAGAAATAAAAAAGGGGGGATGGAAACAGACCAGAAGAACAAAAAAGTAAAGGGATATTGTGTACACCTTCATGCAAGTGCACACAAGTGGCCCCCCCCAATAGATTTTCACTCAGTTCAACAGTCTGGCAGGTGTCCCACATCAACTAGTACCTCCCCCCATCACAAATAACCCGACCCAGACCTGTGCCAAGGTCTCCACTCAGAGGATAGCATACTACAAATGTCCACTACATGGTAACTGAATACTGTTTGTGAGGTAAAAAATGTGAAAGCATAAGCATTCCCATGTATTCAAGACTAACGATGGCCACCATCAAATAGAAGAGATAACCTACGTGTAAAACAAGTGATAGAAAAATTCAAAACAATGAGTTCTGCCAGTTGAACCTTTATAAAGGAACGGTGAAGCGCTCAGTCCTTCTGAGACAGCAGTTCTCAAAATGTGGTTCTGGAATGCTCTAGGGGTCCTGGAGACATTTCTGGGAGCATTCTGAAGGTCAAAACTATTTTCATGATAATACCAAGACATTACTTTCCACTCTCATTCTCTCATGAGTATACAGTTGAGTTTTCCAGATGCTACATAACATGGCTGATAGTGCAACAAGTTTAACACAGAAGCAGACCTGAGAATCTATCGGTCTTCTGTTAAGGCAATTCACTGAAGAGATTTGCAAAAACATAAAACAATGCATTCTTCTCACCAAATTTTTGTTTGGGGAAAAATAGTTATTTTTTATAAAAATGGGAATATTGATGCTAACATGTAGTAGGTTTATTATAATCACCATTATTCCTAAATGACCTAATTATTTTAAAAAATATTCCAATTTTAATTTCTAATAAGACAAATGTACAAAACTATAACCCATAGAAAAAAGCTATTTGATGTCCTCAATTATTTTCAAATGTAAAGACCAGAAAGTTTTAGAACCAATGCTCTTAAGTCCCCAAGTGAACTAACACATAACACAGGATACTCATTAAGCTAGTGGGAGAAGTCTCTGTCTTTTTAAAGGTCACACCTTTGAGTAGAGTTCAGTTTCTCTCCTCTTGGCTCCTTGACTTAGAGATAAATTATCCTAAGGCATCCTTATTTGAAACAGAGGTAATGAGTTCTTATCATCTGCCTGTGTGTGTCAATTATACAACTGGATGGAAAAAGTGTTTGGAATTAAGTAGTCTTACTCATTTAATATTCAACAAATATTCAAATATTATCCACACAGTAAACTTAAAATGTTACTATAAAAATTAGAAATCCAATTTAGTGTTTACATAAAACTTTCTTCTTGTGAAAAATGATCATTGTTTAGAGATTCTGGTAGTGTTTAAGAAAAATTATAAATAACTCCTTGTAAAGCTCACACAGCTCCCATGGGATGTCAATGCAGAATGGGCAACATACAGCAAATTTTCTCGGTAACCCAGCTGCAGTTGTTGATCTATTTAACTGGTTCTTACAAAAGTGATTCCCTGGCTCTCGTATTCAATATTCGTAATACAGTTTAATAGCCACAGACTGTTATCCTGATTGTGTAATATATACATATTCATCATTTCATGGTAAACCAACTCAAATAACATGCAGAAGGAAACCCCTCAAGGAGTGAATGTCTTCCTCCTCAAAAGGTATATGAGAGAATTGCTTGTTCTATATCTTTTCCTGAGCTTTTCTCCCCAGATAGATTTGGCTTTATTGACTATATCTCTTCGAAATGTTTATATGCTGGAGTGGTGTGCAGTAACATATTATACAATATCAACTCCTTAAAGAATCAAATATGTATATAAAGGCAAAGAATAATGAACTTCCATACTCCCACAATTGACATTAATTGATAAGATTTCGTTTCTTAAATATATAAATCCCATTTTATTTCCCCCAAGAGGGGCTACACTATCAATCGCCAATCAGCTACTATCTTGAGTTTAGTATGGATCTTTCCAGTTGCTTTCAAATGCTTTATGTGTGCACACACGGACCCCTAAAACCCAGGGTTCCTTTGTATATTTGCTAGTTTACAAAAACAAGATCATTTTGCCTTGGGTTGAACAGTGTTCCCCAAAATTCATGTCACCCCAAACCTGTGAATGTGACCTTATTTGAAAACAGAGTCTTTATAGATTTAACCAAGATGAGATTATACTGGGTTAGGAAAGACCCTAAGTCCAATATGGCTGGTATCTCTAAAACAAGAGGAGAGACCGCAGAAACAGACACTCACGGGAGAGAAGGTCACGAGACAACAGACACACAGAAACTGCATGCCAAGGACTGGCCACCAGAAGCTAAGAGGCAAGATCTTTCCTCTAGGTCCTTCAGAGAAAACACAGCCCCGCTGACACCTTGCTTTTGAGCTTCTAGTCACCAAAACGAGGACCAGAAATTTCTGTTGGGTTTAGCCCCCCAGACTGCAGCAGCCTGGCAGCCCAGGAAACTAATACACAAAGGTGTTTATCTGCATCTTACTTGCCACTCAATATGTTCCTGTAACACCCCCACGTTGATGCATCTAAGAAAATTAATATTTACCACCTGTGACAAATTCTGATAGTACTAATCACTGTTTAAAATGAATACTTCTATGGCAGTTAATAAACAGCTGTTGCACCAAGCCACTCCCCCAGGACCTCCTGAGGGTTCAGCAATCAATGCAGAGCAGACAACGAAAGACCATGGTTGACACCCATTCTTACTAGCTGGTTTTGGTACCATACTGGTTAACAACTTGAAGATCACTTCTACTTCATTCCATCTAAGCACTGAATAGTATTGCACTAATAGGCCGCGTTTCTTTTGGTCTACTCTTCTACTAATGGAAATTAGGTTATTTCCAGTTTTTCCCCAATAAAAACAATATTACAATACAGATCCTGACCCTTACTATCCAAAATCTCACTACATGAAACTCAGAAACCAGAGATTCCTTACTCTCCATATCTTTATTCTCTGAACGTTAATTATCTAAAGTCTGGAATCACAAAAATTTTTTAAAGAAAAACAATCTATAAAACATCTGTTTTAAGCCACTCATTTTTCAGTACTTCATGACTTCATAAACATATCTCCAAGAGTTTGCTAGGAAGCAAAATTGCAGTCACTGAATAGCTCTTTTTAAAATAAATGTAGGTTTTGGTCAGTTTTTAAAAACTGTTTATTTATTTTTGAGAGACAGACAGAGTGCAAGCAGAGGAGGGGCAGAGAGACAGAGAGAGGGAGACACAGAATCTGAAGCAGGCTCCAGGCTCTGTGTTGACAGCTCAGAGCCTGATGTGGGGCTTGAACTCATGAACTGTGAGATCATGACCTGAGCCGAAGTTGGACTCTCAACCGACTGAGCCACCCAGGCACCCCAGATTTTGATCACTATTAACTAACAGAGCAGCACTGTTCATCACAGTAGTAC